CATACTATGTCATAAAATTATTAAAAGTAAATGGTTTAAAAGACTTGATTTGATATTAAAAAATATAAACCATTCTTATCTTTTAAATGAAACAAATATTATCTCATTTTCAAAACTAAAAACAATTGATGAGAAATTAAAAGAAGAGTTTACAACTGAGTGGAAAAATGAAATAAATAATGACAATAGGAAAAAATCAAATTCTAAAAATAAACTAAGAACCTACAAACTTTTTAAAACCAAAATTGAACAAGAAAACTACTTAACAATTATGAAAAACAATGAACTTCGCAAATCCTTAACAAAATTTAGACTTGGCAACCACTGTCTGAAAATAGAAACAGGCCGGCATACAATCTGCAATATGTGCGACAATGACCATGTTGAAGATGAACAACATTTTGTCATAAATTGTCCTCATTACAATGAAATAAGATCAAAACTTTACATTGTAGCTAATAAATGTATACCAAATTTTGACAAATTTAGTAATGAAAATAAATTCATATCATTACTAAGTAATGAGAAAATGTCAATTCCTTTAGCGCAATATTTAAAAAACTGTTTTAATACAAGACAGCAGCACCTACATAAACTAAGCCAGTAACACATTCCTTGTATACAAATTTATCTTTCTTTTTTTTTAATGCTTTTTTGTTCCCTTACTTTTTATGTAGTTATTTTTCTTTTACTAATATTTGATTTGTAACCCTTTTCATCCCCTCCGGGTGATGTTGTGTGTTAATAAATAAATAAATAAAAAAATAAATAAAAATACAAAGTTCGCCAAAAAAACACTCAGTCTTTAGAAGTCACTTTATTAGTCCCCGTTCGGACGAAGTCCGAAAATGGGGACTTATAATTCGGTCTCCGTCCGTCCGTCCGTCCGTCCGTGTGTCCGTGCGTTCGTGCGTCCGTCCGGAGTCATATCTCAGAGTCCCTTGGACCGATTCCGTTCATTCTTTGCATGTGCCTAGTACTTTATGTGGGACATATGCACATGCAGTGGTTTAGCGATTCGATTCAAAATGGCCGACTGGCAGCCATCTTGTTTTTTGAAAATGTTGTATTTTGGACATGCTTTGTCAGTTTTCATTCAAACTTGGTACATAGATTATACATGTTAGGATACATGTCCATGATGGATCAAAGATGGTCGACTGGCAGGCATTTTGTTTTTGTTTTTTTATGCGGTATCTTGGACGTGCTCTGTCAGTTTTCATTCAAATTTGGCACATACATGTACTTTATACATGTTAGGATGCAAATCCATGACAATTTGTTTCAAAATCTGGTCAAGGATGGCCGATTGACTTTTTGGCCTTACTACTATATTTCCACAATTTATGTACCATTTTCATTCGTATTTGGCACATACATCATACATATCAGTGTGTTTCATAATCAGATCAAAGATAAGAATAACGGCTGTTTTTATTTTGGCCATATTACTATGACACGAAGCACGTGTTTTGATGTAAATAAACAATCTGTTGTACCTATACGCCACTTGGAACTCAAGTTTCAAGGACACGCTCGCGACAACCCCTCCGCTTTAATATGACGAGCACAAAGAGAACTTAACGGGGACTGTGTCATTTTCAATGACTTGTTTCATTGCGAGGACGTATTCTGCTGTTAAATCAATTATTTCCAACCGTTTTGCAATAGTATTTTCTAGATTGAAGGCAGCATTTACAGTTCATTCAAAGTTCAAAGTTGCGTTGGGATTACGTTGAAACAGTGTAACAATGTCGGTGCCGGTGATCTCTTACCGATGTGCAGGCAACGTAGCCAAAATAAAAAGCATGATCATTTAAACACTGCTATTACAAGGCTGGTAAGAGGTAATAAATTTGGGGCGAAAGTATTTCAATTAGTGGCGGTACGACCTGCCTGTCAAGTATGAACAAAATCAGCCAAGCCAAAAAAATCACAGAAGAGTTAAAAAGCAATTCTTGGTGAACAGTGAACTTTGGGGTCAAATTTCTCGGTAATGAAAAAAGATATCAAAAATTCAAATAGTAACTTTGTGCCCACACTCAAGCTGAGTAGAATGAGCTATGTTAGGGGTGTTTTATCCCAAATTTATAGGAGGAGATACATTTGGTGCAAAGCTATTCAAAAATAAGTTTTTTATCTCCGCTGTCGACCCAGCCAAAAAAATCACAGAAGAGTTAAAAAGCCATTCCTGGTGAACAGTTACCCCAACTTTGGGGGGTCAAATTTCTCGGTAATGAAAAAAAATTCAAATAGTAACTTTGTGCCCACACTCAAGCTGAGTAGAATGAGCTATGTCTGAGGTGTTTTATCCCAAATTTGTAGGAGATACATTTTGTTACGTAGTACAATTTATCTATATTGGAAAACTGTTATGGGGATTATTAATTTCAATAAACAATATTTAACTATCCTTTGCAACACCAATAAAATCACAATGATAATGTTAATTGGTCTTTAAAACTAGAGGCATTATCAAAGCAGTATTTTGGAACTCCTTCCAGGATGATATTCTCAGAATAGCACCAGTTGTTGAAGAAACACAAAACTTAATTTCTCAACAAGGATGAAAGGACCAGTTACTGGGACAAAGCCCTTCTGCCCGCAAAACCCACCAGATACGAAACCCACTTACCGCGAAAGTCACTCACTGCGAAGCTACTAGTGTTTCAATAATATATGTATTGACAATTAATTGTAAAAATATCAATGACACAATGTTTCAAGTATTTATGATCTTACTGTCTATGAATCCTTGATGTGATCAAAATATTTTTATCTCAAATCAAATTATAAAACTTAAAAGACAGTATGACAGAATGACATACTTGTATACTTACTTACTTGTTGTTTAGTGAAACATTGGATAATTATGCCAATTATTGATTAGCTTGATCATTAAAAATTAATGGGCGGTATGGAATGTCCTAAGAGCAGTTGACCCCTTAACCACATCTCCAATTTGGTCCTCGTGTTGATTCCCCCTTATGTGTTACCACGCTTTCATCTCCTAGCAACCATTAATTCTTGTGCCTCTGAGCTCCTGTGACACAACTGTAATATGTATACATAACACATTTCATAGTACTATGCTATAAAGTTGCTCCTACAAGTTGTGAGAAAATCAAATCACTTCAGAATTGAATACAAGGTATATATTGGAACAATATAAAGATTCTCTATTGATATTTAAATAATGTCCAAATGTTTATGAGATATAGGACATGAATGCAATCCATCTACAGGTAACATTTGCTAGAATGTTAGTCTAGCTAATTTAGCTACCAAATTTTTCAATTTTAGTCAATTCAAGATGTAGTTAATTATATTCAGCAAAACATCATATAATAATATGAGGTTATTACAAGGATACTGCAAGGTATGCACAAAGACAGTACAGTGGGAGTATCGACTGTTTTGCAGCGTTGATGTGACTGCGTACTGTCTGAGTGCATACTTTGTAGTATCCTTGCAGTAACTCCCCCCCCCCCCCAGGAATACATCATGAAACTGCCGAAATCCAAAACATTTAGAATATATTTAGCAAACGTCTTAGTGTGGTGTCTGGTCAAACCCTGAGGGCAGCCATGTTTTTTTTTATTATTAGAGGACGTTTATGAGCGTAATCATTCTACATTTGGAATTCATGTCTCCTAATATGGTAGAATGAAATACCCAGTGTAATACTGCAAAATTATTACATATGTACTGCAGTTTATTTTGATTCGTCCCTGAAATCAAAATCGGTATTTCCACACACCATGTGCAAATGAGGCCTGAGAGCAAACAAAGTAGTTCCTTTAGGAGTACCTTTTTTTGAAACATAGCAAAAATAAACGATATTTAGAAGTACAATATTTTTCCCTTCTGGTACATGAATACACTTGCCGAGGGAAAAGAAATTTGAACAACAGTAATGGTATACTTTTAGGCAGTCGCTTACTTTGACTAAAACTAATTTGCATATCACCCATGCAATAATGTTTTTGGTATTTTCACGATCGATATGCAAATGAACATGGTATTTCTATCGGCTACCAAACTATTTTTATTTTGTAAACACATTTTATCCGTTCCAATCGTTCATCACCATTTTTGGCATATTAGATGTATTACATGGAATACTATGATTGGGATAACTTAATGTATGTTGACCACCTGGAAACTGAGTTTTATAAACCTTGAAGGGCTCTCGGACGATCCACCCGCAGTAAAATCAGCGATTACTATGGAGCCACAACCATCAACATCAAGATACCAGGAGGTTTCTACGATGACGTTGCAGCATTACTCAGTTCCAAATAAAGATTACCAATGCCAAGGTAATCAAGGCTTATCAATGCACGACCAGCAAGCAACATCACAAACAAAGTTGCAGCGTGCATGCTCAACGAGGGCCGCTTTCGACGAAAGTCATCCCGTCAGTGGAGTATCGCAGTTGCACGGCATGTTTGCCAATGCACGATTCTGTGGTTGAACTTTAACTTAAACTGTGTATCATAGTTCAAGTTCTGGTTCTGTCGTGTCCCCAACTAAAAATCCACGAGTTATTTATATTAGGCGTTTGATTATTTTATTTTCACACAGACAGTGACACTGTGACGCATTCTACACTGACA